GTAACTCTAATTAAAAAAACTAAAAATAGAAAGTGCAAAACCTCGATTTGACCCCCAGCAATCTGTCTAATTCCTGTTTTAATAGAGATAACTTCTTTCTTTTTTCCGATTTTAGGACAGTCTCATCTTCTAAAAATAAACTGGCGGGGAAAAAAACCAAAAAAAATTAAGTAGGATAATAAAAAACAAATGAAATATATAAAAATTTCAAACGATCAATCTACCAAGAATTAAAAATTTGATTTAATAACTAGACCCAGTATAAACTATTATAAATAATCAAACAATAATAATAATTCCATAATAGTAAACCATAATTCAATAATTAACTTATCAAAAAACGCATCATATTGCAGTCAAACGAAAGCAGAACTATAAAAAAAAAACAAAAAACCCATTCTCATCATCATCTTCATCACTGGGTAACAACAGATCAGCGTCTCGACAGGCTTGTTTGATCCAATCTTTATTGACCTTTTCCTTGTTCATTCTTAAATTTATAAAATTATTCACTTTTTAGAAACAAATTTTCGGTTTAGTCGAATTGGAAATTAATAATAATGCTAATAAAGAATGAGGACTAACAATCTAGAACAGGGGTGGGCAAACTAGGGCCCGCTTTTATGCGGCCCGCGAGGCCTTGTTCGCCAAAAAAGGTCCTCATCCAGACATTATGACCAAAAAAAATCCACAAATCTTTAAAAAATTCTCCCCCGGGTCGAAAAAATTTGCTATATAAGTATGTATGCGGCCCTTCAAAGGTAAAATAGTTCTCAATGCGGCCCTCACAGCAAAAAGTTTGCTCCCCCCTGATCTAGAACGATCAATTTACTATTATATAAATCGTTTCCCTTCACAATTAATGTTACTACATGCCGATACCGCATTCACTTTTATTTTATTAGCCCTTGTTAGAAAAATAACAAAATTTTTAAATCAGATTTTCCATTTTTATTAAATAAATATATAATTATCAATTTATTACAATCATTATTATTATTAAAATTATTATTTTCATTATCATTAATCAAATTTTCCCAAAAAATATCGATATAAGGCAATAGAAAATTCAAAATCAAACGACATATACCCTAATACTTACAAGCGCTATTATACTACTATTATTAATAATTATATTTATTTAATGATAATAATTATTATTATTATTAATTAATTAATTATAATTGGATAATATAATTTTTCTCACCTATGTTCTTGACTCTCGATGTTCCTAGCTAACTTAACTAGGTGAGAAGAGGAATCAAACAGACGCCTGTCAATATCCAATCTATCTATGTCCTTATCTGTGGGAATGAAATTATGAAAGATATTTCAAAATAATTAATTATATTTAATAATTATTAAATATAATGAATTAATTATATTTAATAATTATTAAATATAATTAATATACAAAATATAATTATTAAATATAATTAATATATAAAATATAATTATATTTAATAATTATTAAATATAATTAATATAACATAATATAATATAATTATAATTATTATAACAATGATACGTATCAATAGGTTTTATTCATTCATTCAATGTTTGTTCATTTGTTCGATCATTCATTCTCTTATTCATCCATTTATTCATTCATTCATTCATCCATTCATTCATTTATTTATTTATTCACTAATTCAATCACTCATTCACTAATCCATTCATCCATTTACACATAATTTCATTGAAAAATTTAATTATACCCCTTTTTAAAGCAGCCTGTATGCCGTTGAACAGTTTGACCTCTTCTGGGCACACCAGAGCCAAACTGATGCCAGCTGTGTTCGATCGGGCTGTCCGCCCCGACCTATGCACGTAGTTCTGCATAAATTAACATAAATTAACATGAATTACCATAAATTAACATGAATCACCATAAATTAACATGAATCACCATAAATTACACTTATATCATTGTTTATTTGGTGATAATACTTATTAAGTTATCCTAAATTAACATAGATTTGCACGAAATTGTCGATAATTTTGCAGAGATTTGTCAAAATTAACGTGACGTTTACAGTTGGTTTTGATTAATTTTCTATCTAAAAAAAAAGATACCTCAGTAGTCCGGGGAACCTGATAGTGAATGACATGCTTAACGTTTGGGATATCTAAACCCCTGGCCGCGACATCAGTAGCTAACAATAAGCCTCTCTCATTTTCTGTCGGTAAAAATTATTATTGTATAATTATTAATTATTATTATTATTCATAATTATTTATGTTATTTAAACATACACGCACACAAACACACGCATACAGACAGACGGACACCCAAGCATTTTGCAGATTTAGAGTATGACACAAATTAAATAAATACATTACAATAAAATACAATAATACAACACACACACACACACACACACGCACGCACATCAACAATATTGACCTTTGAACCGATCCAAATTCTTTAACCTCTGCTTCTGGTGCATGTCGGCATGCAGTGGCAATGGCTTACAATGTAGCATAGCCAGCAAAGAGGTCAACCTCCTAATGCAATCTTTACTGTTTGCAAAAACCAGGGTTCGGCCTTAAGTAATACAGGTAAACATGTCTTACAGGTAAATATCCTACAGGTAAACATCCAATATGTGTTGCATGTTACATGTAACTTTAGTTAAATTTACATGTAACTTTAAATGTAGTCTGACTTTTGCTACGTTTTTTTAAAAAAAGTATAACAACAATCATCTTATTGTTAATCAGTCTAAATTACATATACTAATTACAAAGACTACATGCACAAACACACACACACACAAACACACGCACACAAACAATACCCTTGTTATTTTTCAGAAAGTAATACAGGTATAAATCCTTCTCTTGGTAGGTGCAGTTCACCTTGAGTTCCGTGAGTTTCTGGGCCGTCATTTTTTGCCCACCCGTCAGGTCAACCACCTCTGGCTTACTGGACATGTGGAGTTTGCGTTGCAGAGATGCTAGTGGGTTGAAAACGTAACGTAAGAGTTATGAGTGTGTGTGTGGGTCATTTTTTTTTAAATTTTAGAGATTTTTTAAGGTTTTTTTTACAAACAAAGAATTAAATTCTAGTTAGCAAGGAATAGAGAAGTCATTTGTTGGTTGGTTGGTTCATGGTTGGTTGGTTTGTTGATTGATTGGTTTCAAAAATGTGCATTCAAGGCATGAATATAACAGCCGAAACATGAATGAACAAAACTTTAAAATAATGAATATAAAGAAGTGCAATGGAAGATCAAACAGCTCTGAAAGAATGCCTCAGCAGATAAAACAAAAAGAAGAAACAACATTAGTAATAATAAATAATAATAATAATAAATAAATAATAATAATAAATAATAATAATAATAAATAAATAATAATAATAGTAAAGAATAATAATAGTAAAATCCCCACCCAATTTATCTTCCAGTGTCAGTTCTTTCATCTTCTTCTTCTTACCCACATCAAATCTATAAGGGGTCTTATGGATGAATGTCAAGGTAGCAGAGAAGACGAAGTTCTGCCTTCTCAACGGCGAGCTGTGGATGTTTGGATGTGAGAAAGGACGAATGAATGAGTGAATGATCGAATGAGTGAGTGATTGAATGAATGAGTGATTGAATGAATTAATTAATTAATTAATAATATAAACTGTAATGTAAAATAAATTTAGAATGATACAACAAACAAACAGACAAACAACCAAACAAACAAAAATTACCATAAGTTTAGATTGATGTAGTTCATAATTTTTTCCAATTCTTCAAAATGGTTCTTTTCGATCATTCTATCTGCCTCGTCGATTACCAAAAACCTCAAATCTTTCACATGGCTCAGATGTGGACATTTCTTTGTGGCGAATAATTATTAATTAATTATTAATTATAATAATTATAACAAAATATAATGAAACAATAACTTCTAGAACTCTAATCCCAAAATCGCCCTAACTTTCATCATCATCATCATAATCACCAGACTCGCCATCATCATCATCCTCGTCATCACCATCATAACCACCACCACCACTATCATCATCATCATTATCATAACCACTACCACCATCATCATCATCACCTGCTGCACAAGCTCCCAGAATCTTCCGGGTGTGGCAACGACGATCTGGGGTGAGAATTTTTTCAGCAGACGGTTTTGCCTCTCGATGGACATACCCCCCACGATGGCTAAACACTGATTATTAATATTATTTGTTATTATTATTAATTATTATCATTTATTATTATCAATAATTATTATTATTATTATAATCATTACCAATATCATTGTCATCATCACAGAGCAAATGCCATAGTAGGTACACACACATGTACACAGTTAATAAAACTTAAAAACACACCTTATGACACACACACACACGCATACACACAACCACGCATACACATACACACACACACACACACAACATACCAGCAGACACACACACAAACAAACACAAACACATACACACACGCACAACAAACCAGCAGACCTTAACATCTGTATATTTGGTGACATTATCAATATGCTCTCTAATCTGTATGGCTAACTCTCTTGTCGGCGTTATTACCAGTGCATACATTGGTTTATTGTGATGATGATGATGATAGTGATGAGGGTGATGATGATCATTTTTATCATCATTATGCATTTTTCCCAACACTTCATCATCATCATCATCTTCTTCATCATTGATATCATCTACGTCTAGAGTATCTCTTTGGCTCTCTTCATCAACGTCTGTATCATTATTGTTATTGATTGTATCAACATCATCATCTGTTTCATGGATTTCATCATCATTATCAACATCATGGTTATCATCATCACCACCATCACCATCATAACCATCCTCATCGTCATTACCATCATCATCATCATTAGTGGTAGTAGTAATAGTAGTTAGAGTACAATCATCATCTTCTTCTTCATTAACATCTTCTACAATAATATTATTAATCTCATGGCCATCACTTTTTTCCTCCTCATCATCATCATCATTAACAGTAGTAGTAGTAGTAGAAGCAGCAGCAGCAGCAGCAGTAGTAGCAGCATTATAATCATCACCATCATCGTCGTCGTCATCATCTGCATTTAGGTTCAGTATGTGCGTGACGATGGGGATGGCAAATGCCAAGGTTTTACCACTACCCTGATGAGAAAAAGAAATATTTAAAATATTTAAAAAAATTTTTTTTATTTATTTTTCTTATTTTATCTTCCTTAAATATTCTTTTCATCTATTTATTTTATCTATGTATTTATTTTTACTCATTTATTTATTTTTATTTTATTTTAACTTATTGTTGTAAAAACTTTATAATTATAATAATAATAATATAAATAACTCCAAAAAATAATAATAACAGTTTCGGCAGCCCCGATTATGTCCATCTTATCTTCAATGGCCGATGGAAGAACCCGTGACTGAATGGGTGTCGGATTAGTGAAGCCTAACTCTTTCAGGCATCGAAGAATTGGATTAGGGATGCGCAGATCAAGCCAGTTTTCCATGCCATCGATTTTAGAAGAAACGTCGTCGGGTTGTTTTTGTTGTAGTTGCCCGTTCGAATGTTGATGCAGTAGTTGTTGCGCGCCGTAACAGGACTTGGAGGGTTCGGTTTTGTCATTTGATTTATTTTTCTTCTTTCTTTGTTTCTTCTTTTTTTTGAACATTTCACTTTTCACTTATTATGTTTTAATTTAAATATTTATTGTTCAAGATTAATATTGCAGAGATAACATAACAACGCATAAAAAAAACAAGAGCATTATATATATTAAAATAAAATTTTAAATAAAAACCTTAATCAAATCGACCCAATACAATACACTACATAGACTATATAAATATTATACTATACATAGTTTATTATATATGTATTGTATATTATTTATTTTATATATATAGTGTATTTTAGTAGAAGACATCATCTTATTCTCTCAACTTTGCAATGAAGCGACATCTGTAATGAAGAAAAAATTAACAAACCTCCATTTTGGTCAAGTTCTAATTTTATTTTTTTAGTATCTGGCTGGCAGGCAGTTTCAGGTTTTGCAGTTCTCTTGAAGACTCCCTTTTCAGTTTAGAGTTGGTGTTAGTTTTATGAAAAAACATCAAAAATTGTGAAAAAAATTATGAAAATAATTGAAGAAATAACGCAATTATTAAACATAATAAAGAACTAATTAAATTAATATTTTAATCGGATTAATATTAAATATTAATAATTAAACAACGTGACTAACGTTTTCAATAACATAATCAGTTATTTCTTCAAACTCAATCAGATCATCAAGAGTATCGTCGCCATTACTTTGAACGGTGTCAATCGTTAAATTTGAAACTTTTGGCATTTTAATTTTTCAGATTAAATAATAATAATAATGAAAACCCCAAATATCAGGACAAACGAAATTGTAAAAATAAAAACGTGTTTCTTTAAACTGGTTGCGAAAAGTAGACCTAAATATAAAATTTTATAAAGCGCATTTTAAACAAGGCACATATATAAAATAAAACATAGACATATATATACAGAATATAACCTACATATATATTCTATATATATATATATATATATATGAAAACATATAAATATATATATAATTGACATAACATATAAATATAACATAATATATATGTTATATTCTATATACATGTAGACAGGTATTGTTATTTCTTTATTACTACGTTACTTTCATGTTATTATTATATTCTTTTTATAAGTTACCATCAAATACTTATAATATAATAGAATAAAGTAGAATTTATATTTGCCATAATCTTTTCTATTGTACATCTTATTGCATATTATATATGATATAGCAGTAGCTAACTTACTAGCATGAAAAGTTTCGAGGTCACAAATATATTAAATTTTATACGAGAAATCATTTGAACAATCAGTTGTTTCAATAAATCTAAACACTCTATTCCTCCTATTATCTTACCTGATTCTAAAACTCTTAATGTTTCTCACAAGTTTCGTAGTCTAGGCTTTATCTTTGAATCATTTGTTGATTAATCTAGTGTTATGTTAATAAATAAGGCTGTCTATTAATTCATTTATTAGAGAAAACCGTCAAATATAAATACGTAAATTTAAAAAATCAACATAAAAATAGTGTTGTAAGTAATTTTCAAAAGAAGTATATTAGTCATCGAACAGTCATCAAGTTCGTATTTATGATGCATCTGACGTATATGAGGATAAGTCAATTGTATTTAAGGGATCATGGCCAGACGCTGCCCGTGATTTATTTGCCTGATTCTTTTGCTTTTTCCTCTTGACTAAGATGGCAATTGTTATCAACAGTAGGAATAGAGTCACGGCAGAAGCCCCTATAATGTAACCTAAATATTTTAAAATAATATTATCGGTTTTGGTGCCATTTTTGTCAAACTTGGAGACTGTACTGTTCCATCTGATGGTTGTGATAGTGAAATCGACTGCGGCAGTGCTAACGATAGTGTGTGAATGTTCAATGGGATAGTAAGGAAGGTCGTCTTCAGTGACATTAAAAAATGTATCCTCCATAAAATAATGATGAAATATCAAGCTAGTGTTATAAAATTGTTTCTTGCAATTTTCAAGTGAAGTTTTACCTTTGGCCACTAACGTCTTACCGCATGAGCAATTAATGCCAGCAGTAAGCACTAAGAGTGTGTAATTTCTCGATTCGCACACATCTTCGCATTGTCGGTAAGATAATCCAAATTCATTGTGGCTGTACTCGGCGTCAACAAATTTAAAACATGCTAAGATCGGATTAACGATAGTGTCCACATTGCGCCAGTTCCTACAGTTAACAATTTTTTTATTACTAAGCACCAGTTCTCTGCACCGCTCGCCTTTACATTTCCCATTCATAAAGTTGCAGTCAGCTTCGTATATTTGTAGTTCTGCTGCTGATGTGCTGCCGTATGCAAATAGGTTATTTGTTTGTTGCAGAATGACGTATCTTGACGCCAGATCGAATTCGTTGCAAATAACTGTTACAGGTTGGCCTGCAAGTGTTGATATATTTGGCCCGTGTCCGCATAGCACAAGAGATGATCTCACGTCCGAAACGTCTCTATAGTCAAACGTTGAAGCAAGTTTTACAACAAAGCTATTCATGTACATACGATCTCTACTATCGAACCATATTCTATTGAAAACTCTTACAAAGCCGATGCGATAACTTTCCTCCAGATCCACGGTGATCCAGGCCCTGTTAATATCATTTATGCGAGCACCCATGACGCCGTCGATGACCCCATCCGTCAGGTGTTTCTCATGCTGCAAACCAAAATATTTGCATGTAAATGTTGAACTAAGATAGACTGGTTTATCAAGTGCCAAGTTTTTTCTGATAGTTTCACATTGAAGCCACCTGTTTCTAACAGTACCATGGGGACAGACACATTCGACAAGCTTGAACCCGTTCACTATAGACTCGATGCATTTCATCTGGCTGCCACAATCTCCGTTGTTTGATGTGCAATCTCTCAATCTGCAGAAATACCCCTTCCATCCTTCACTACAACCGCCACCAAGGCATTCCTTTACTTCATAACTATTTTTATCTCCCTGGCAATGAGAGTATGTGGAGACACTTCTTTGAAATTCATATTTCAAACGAGTGAAATAAATCACTTGGCAGTCAGGTCCTCTGTCCCTATAGTGGCAATTACAAATTTCGGTAGGGTCGTGAGAGCAGTACTCATTGCATTCAAGCGTCGTTATGTTTGGAGACAGAACAATGAGATCTATGAAACAAATGCATCTCTCGCCTTTTCTCGCAGCGAAATTTTTGTTGAGCTCTAGGCAGCCTTTTATGCAACTCTCAATGGATTCAAACTTAAATTCAATGGGTCTTTTTGTGGGCGAAAATTGAAGTGATGTTGTGCATAAAATTCCATGATGTGTGACTGCAGGTTTAATTTTATAGACTGAATAAGAATCGCTACCACCGCAAGCTTTATTGTTAATGCATGGGGTGTTGCATTCGGAAGATGCCACGGCTGAGTCAAAGTCATTGACGCAATAACATTCGTCCCCATTCCTAAGAGCCATCTTGTTAGTGTTATCTACCAGGCAGAGTTCAAAGCACTCTTTGAAGTCGGTTTTAAAAAAAGTTTTTGTCGAATTTATATATTTGAAACATCCGATATAAGCTGGTTCTCTAATGGTTGGGATCGAATTTTGTGCTGAGATGGATTTCCATGTATCTGTATATACAGAAAATAAAACAATACAATAATTTAAAATCATTTACCAGTGTATTTAATTGTATAGCTGGATAATTAATTTTATAAAAATCTTATGTAATAACACGTTTAAAAAAAGATTGTTTACAAAAATAGATAAATAAATGATCACGCAATAGGTTTGGTGTGGTTATATAAGTTATATATATATATATATATATATATATATATATATATATATCTTATATATAAATATATATCATGCAGAGATAATATTGCAATTATTATAAATTATTAAAACTGCAATCTTTAAAAATTGTTATAAATAATTAATAAAATTGTTTAATATGTTTTTATAACACAAGTTGGACATCCAGAACATAACCGTTAAAAAATCGAGTCTTCTATAATACTTGCTCGAATGCTTAGTGTTCAGCCTTCTTAAAGCATCTTTTTATTGAGTATCTTTGATTTTTGTGCTAACTTCATTTTTAGTTTTCAAAAAATAAAATGGATTATCGCAAATTGTTGCCTAAAAGTTTTACGGAATTATTCGATGTTGAGATAGAAAATATCTTTACGGAAAGTCAGCTGAATGATCTCGCAAATTTGTCGTCCGGCTTAAAAGAACCGTTACAAAAATTTATCAGTGATTTACAAGCGAAACATGCAAAATTAAAAACGGATTCCATCCGCCAGATTGATATGATCGGTTAGTGTCACAGTTTACCATTAATTACAAATTTTAAAAACATAGAAAAATAGAAATTCTAAACTTTTTTTATTTGGTTAGTCAAATTCGTAATGCTTGTTTGAAATAAAATTGAGTTTTGTCAAATCCAGAAACAAGATCTGAGATCACAGAATCTAAATTGGAGTTGATAAAAAATGAATTGGAAGATAAAGACAAAGCACTAACCTCAGCTAAAGAGCAATGCACCAGCCTATGTTTGTATTTTTTTAATTAACTTTTTCTGCCATCTTAAAAATATTAAATAGAAAATTTAGCATGAATAATTTAATTTTTATCATAAAATGAACATTGCCTCATTTTATCTATATTTTCTATATTTTACTAAGTCAAATATTCAGATCACTTCATTAATTTTGTCATATTTTTCATTTTTAATAATTTTTCTGTTTAATTTATAAAGCGAACAAAAATAAGGAGCTATCAGATTCAGTAAAGGCATTAGAAATTTCATTATATGAAAAAGAAAAATCATGGGTTAATAATTTTGTTTTTTAAAAAATTCTTTCCAAATGATTTTTTGATGATATTATTTTTTTTCCAAAATTTCACTAACCTTCAAATTTTAAAAAGTCAGGAAAAAAAACGCAAATTTTTTTTATTAATTTTCAACAGAATGCCAAAGAACACCAGTTGTTGTCCGCTAACTCCAAACTAGAGTTAGAGAGAGATAAGTTTAGTGATATGTTGACCCAAAGAAATAACGAAATCGATAGACTGACAGGTAGATTTTTTAGGCGGATAAACTTTTATTAACCTTATTAAAAAACATGCCGTTTTAGTGGTTGAATTCTTCTAAAATATTTTTTCCTTTGTATAATCATTTGGTTAATGATTCTTTTCATGTTATGGTGTAATCTTACATCTCCACCCCTTCCTAATCACTAAACTAGATGAATGGAGGCAGTTGACTGACAAGTTAAAAGAGGCCAACAGCCTACGAATCATGGCGCAGACATTGGCCGAGGATTCTAAATCAGAACTTGTAATTATTCAGGTAATACTGTAGTGCCTTTAATTTTTTTTGTTTTATTTTTTGTTGAATGAAAGCTTTATTCCACATTTCAATGCATCTAGATATTCAATTAAAATTAATGATAAATATAAATCAGAACGCAAGCCAAAAATGAATAGAGAAATAAATAATGAAATAAAAAAATTGAGGATGAAAATATATTTTTATCGAATTGATTACAAAAGTGAATTTAAAGTGGTGTAAATTAAAAAGTAAATTCTGGTTTAAAATTAGAATCGTGAGGTCCGACTAAAGAGCGAACTTGCTCAGACTACTCACCAGGTCGAGGTCCTGTCGAAAGAGTTGCAAGCAAAATTTGACGAGATAACATCTACAAGGAAGGAAAAGGTATTTATTGATATTTATTTTTATTTATTTATCTATATTTATCTATAACTGGGTCTCTGGACACTAAACGAAGATTGATTGATTGAGTATTTATCTATATTTTTTATTTATTTATTATAAATAATTATTGTTTATTACAATTAGAAATAATGTTATCTTGATGTAATTTTTTTCAGTCTGTCCAACTCCTGCAACTCCAAGCAACCCTGGATGAGACTATTGAAAAAGTGTGTACACGTACACACACACACGCGCGCGCACACCCACACACACCACACACACACACAAGTTCAAGCAAGCAATTAAACAAACATACATAAGTTTGAATTTCGGCTCTTTTTCTTTAAAAAAACTTAAATATATATATAGTATATGAAATAAAATGATGAATCAATAAAATAAATAATAAATAATTAATTACAATAATCAATCAATAATAAATTAATAAAATTGATTAATTAAATTAATTGTTAACGTAAAAAAAAACAGTTAAATCAGGCCGAGCAGTTGCTAGAGATAAGCAAGAAAGCTCAATCTGAGCAATGTGAGCAGATAGAACATTACATCAAAAAGCTAAATGAAGTCAGTTTTCACGCACGCACACACACACACGCACACACACACAAACATTCATAGATACATAGATAGATACATAGATAAATACATAGATAGATACCTAGATAGATACATAGATAGATACCTATCTACTTTCACGCATACACATACACACAAACACACACATGTGTAACACCATCAGGCCAAAGACAACCAAATAAACATGGAGGAAAGATACAGATTAGAAGTTATTTCTCAAGAGAAGCTTGTCAATTTATACAAAGTAAATCATTTTTGTATACTCACACATACACTCACACACATGCATACACACACTCACACACATGCGCACATACGAACGCATACGCACTCATGCATACATACAAACAGACACCATAGCCATTTCACCAGTATATAACATATACAAATCTATTTCCATTCATTCATTATAGTCTTATAAGGATGATGCTGAGAAAAAGTTGCCTGAACTGGCAAAAATTGCAGAGGACTCGCAGAAGTTACTCAACCAGGCAGCCGATGGTTAGTATCTTTGATTGGTTGATTGATAGATTGATTGATTGGTCAATTGACTGATTGGTTGATTGATTGATTGGCTGATTGATTGATTGATTGGTTGGTCGATTGGTTGGTAGATTGATTTATTCATTGATTCATTCATTCATTTATTGCTTCGTTAATTCATTCATCAATGAATCTTTTTGATTCGAACTTAAGCTTACAACGAATTGAAAGAAGAGAAGAAGGCCAGTGAAAATGAACTGGCCAATATCATATCATCTCATGGTTTGTTTTTGGCTGATGCTGTCTGTCGTTCGTTTGTCTTCAGACGTTTGCGATGTGGTTGCTAGTGAGGCTGCTGATGCCGCTTTCAATGCTGCTTTGGGGCTGTTAAACGCACTTACACACCACAAACTCACTACTTAAACACACATACAGACACACACATACACATACAACTAATGACAACCAGCCTGTAATAAACAAACGATAACACAGAAACGAAAATAAAAAGCCTGGAGGAGGAGTTATCAACAGCCAATCAGCTCTTAGAATCCTTTCACAAGAGGCAGAGCCTTATGGAGCTGACAGACGAGGACATAGAAGAAATGTCGCCAGTGGCCGCAGCAGCGTGTAAGATGCTCAGATCCAACACTTCCCTAACCCAGGTTTGGTTTCACATGGGGCCGATGGATTAGTGATTAGTGAATGTGTCGATTGATTGCTCGGTGTAGATCAGATTGCTTGGCTTGGTTATTTGAAACTGTTGAACAGTAATGATGGGATATTTGGGAAAATGATAGATTATTGTTGATTGCATACAAACATGCATACATACACACATACATATACATACAAACATACATACATACATACATACAAACATACATACATACATACATACATACATACATACATACATACATACATACATACTTACATACATACATATATGTTGGCTACGGCAGATAAAGTATGTGGATGGACGAAAGGAAAGTGTAGGCATGGTGAGACGTGGTGGTGGGATGAAGATATAAGAAGGGTTTTGGAAGTCAAGAAGGAGAGGTTTAGGGTATGGAGAAGGGACATGACGGAGGAAGCGGAGTCTGAGTATAGGAAGGCTAAGAAGGTTGCAAAACAGGCAGTGGCAACTGCAATGACGAAAGCATCAGATAGGTTAATGAAGGAAATGGAATCTGATGTGAGTTCGAGGGAAATGTTCAAAGTAGCAAAGCAGTCAATGAGGGATAGGAAAGATGTTATAGGGAATGGATGTGTTTGGGATGGATCTGGCAAGTTGTGCATAGATGAGGAGGAAAAAGCTCAGGTGTGGAAAGCTCATATGGAAAGGTTGATGAATGAAGAGAATGAGTGGGATGGAGATGTGGAATCCGCGGTCACACACGGACCTATAGAGAAGGTGACGAGGGAGGAAGTAGAGAAAGCAGTTAGAGAAATGAAACTAGGTAAGGCGACAGGGGTTTCGGAAGTGGCGGCTGAACATATTAAAGCGAGTGGGGTGATAGGAATTGAAGTTATGATGAGAATTGCTAACAGTATGTTTGATGATGAAGGTATACCTGAGGATTGGCGACACAGTGTGTTGGTGCCGTTGTATAAGGGCAAAGGAGATGTGAGAGATTGTGGGTCATACAGGGGTGTGAAATTACTAGAGCACGGAATGAAGGTAGTGGAGAGGGTGCTTGAGAGGAGGTTGAGAAGTATGGTAACAGTTAATGAAATGCAGTGTGGGTTTATGCCTGGTTGAGGAACGGTGGATGCGTTGTTCATGGTGAGAATGTTGCAGGAGAATTATAGAAAGAAGAAACGAAGATTGTACATGTGTTTTGTGGATCTGGAAAAGGCTTTTGATCGAGTACCGAGGAAGGTCATTGAATGGGCGTTGAGGAAGAAAGGAGTGAATGAGAGACTTGTTAAAGCTGTGATGCAGCTGTATGAAGGGGCAAAGACAAAGGTGAGGGTTGGAAGGGGGATGTCGGACGCTTTTAGTGTTAAGGTAGGAGTGCATCAAGGATCAGTGTTATCACCGTTTCTGTTTGCAATTGTGATGGATGTTGTGTGTGGAAACATAATGGAGGGGTTGTTATTTGAGATTTTGTATGCAGATGATTTAGTCTTGATGGCTGATAGCATGGAAGAATTGCAGTTAAAATTTGACAGATGGAAAAGTGTTATTGAAAAGAAAGGGTTAAAAGTTAATATTGGTAAGACGAAGGTAATGGTGAGTGGGGAAGGTGGAGAGCGAGTGATAAGTAAAATAGACCCCTGTGGGGTATGTGATAGGAGAGTGAAGGCAAACTCGGTATTGTGTATAGGATGTCAGAAATGGGTGCATAAGAGATGTAGTGGTGTGAAGGGGGCACTGAAAAAGGTGGAAGGCACGTTCAAATGTAAGAAATGTGTTCATGGTGTGATTAATAGGACGGACGCAAGGACGGGGTTGAGTGGTGGTATTGAAAGAGTGGAAAGCTTTGTTTACTTAGGGGATAAGCTGAATGCGGATGGAGGATGTTTGAGCGCAGTTACGGCTAGAGTTCGTGTGGGATGGATGAAATTTAGGGAACTGGGTGGGGTATTGTGTGGAAAGAAATGGTCAGTGAAGATGAAAGGGAGGGTATATAAAGCATGTGTGAGAGCAGCGATGGTATATGGTGGTGAAACTTGGGTGTTGAGGAGAGAGGAGGAAAGTGTACTGCAGAGGGCTGAAAGAGCTATGGTGAGGATGATGTGTGGGGTTAAAGTGAAGGATAGGAGGAGTAGTACAGAGCTGATGTCAATGATGGGACTGAATGAGGACATAAGTGACATTGATAAGGAGATCGAGATTGCGGTGGTATGGACATGTGTTGAGAAGGGATGAAAGGGTCGGGATTAGGCGAGCGTTGGAGTTCGAGGTTGAAGGAGTGGTAGGAAGGGGTCGTCCGCGATTGGGATGGAGAGAGCAGGTGGAGAAGGACAGGGTGAAAGCGGGGTTGCGTGATACTGAGGCGAGTGACAGATGTGGATGGCGTCGAGGGGTATTTCGGTTTCATCATAGGTAGCCAAACGGCAACCCCCGATCTCGGGGAAAATGCCGTCTAAACGTGTGTTGTGTTGTTGTTGTATACATACATACTTACATGCATACAGACATACAGACATGCATACATACATATACATGCATACATACAGACATGCATACATACATACATACACAACACAGATATACAATGAACATGTGAAGTTGTCAAGGGAACTTCTTAGTGTTAAACATGAGAATGAGAGACTTACTGAACATCTAGATACCGTTCTTAAGGTTGGATTGATTGATTGGATGAACGAATGAATGAATGAATGAATTAATTAATTAACTTTTGATTGAAACAGAACATTGAAGAAAGTGCTCCAACCCTCAGAGTTCAGAAAAGAGATTACCTGAGATGTCTGGAGAGGAATGAACAACTGACCCTATTGTTGAAAGAGGCTACAGAGGCACGTTCACTTTATTGGCTTTTTTTTGTTTATTTGTTATTCTTCTTTTATTCTTAATATTAATATTCTTGTTCTTGTTATTTTTTTAATTATATTCTTAATTAATATTCTTAATATTCTTGTTTAATTCTTATTTTAATTTATTCTTGTTGTGTTACCATTGAGAAGCTATTTTGGGTAGCACGGTAACCGACCTCACAATAATTAATTTTTTTTTTGGTCTCCGAATCATTCATGCTTTTTTGTTTTGTTTGATTGAATAAAAGTGATCTGATTTGGTTGATTTGATTTGGTTGATTTGATTTGGTTGGTTTGATTTGGTTGGTTTGATTTGATTTGATATATATATAACAATAATATAGGTACTGAAATATATGCTTTCTCATGTTTCACAATGTAAAAGTTTGAAAAAAAAATAAATAAAAAATTTTACAACTCAAAGTCGTCTGAAATGAATAAAATGAGAGTCGAAGAACTGAACCGAGGGAGTAACGAACTCGTGAGAGAATTGGAGAGGAACAAAATGTCAATCAATGACCTCAAATCTAAGGTTGGCTGGCTGATTGGTTATTTAATTGGTTGACTGGCTAGTTGATTGATTGGTTAGTTGATTGATTGGCTAGTTGATTGATTGGTTAGTTGATTGATTGGCTAGTTGATTGATTGGCTAGTTGATTGATTGGCTAGTTGATTGATTGGCTAGTTGATTGATTGGTTAGTTCATTGATTGGTTGGGTGATTGATTGGTTAGTTGATTGATTGGCTGGTCAATTAGTTTAACAAGTCAACCAACATTATACGTAAAGACTCACTTTTTCACTCACTCACTCACTCAATCACTCACTCACTCACTCACTCATTCACTCACTCAATTTTTCACTCAATCACTCACTCACTCACTTTTTCACTCACTCAATCACTCAATTTTCCACTCACTCAATCACCCACTCACTCACTTTTTCACTCAATCACTCACTCACACACACACACACACACGTGCAGGTTAACGTTCTGCTGAGTCAGTTGGAGGAAGAACGGGGAATCATTGTACACCTAAACACGAGCCGTGATTCAATGAACTCCACACTAAATAGCAGTAGCAATAATACTACTTCTATCACTACAGCTGCATGTAGTAGTAACAATAATAACATCATCTCGTCGTCATCCTCTGTTATATCTGATAGACTGGTTACATTTAGGTTATTTCTAACTTTTTTTTTCACACATACCTATATGTACACACACACGCTCATATATATATATATATATATATATATATATATATATATATATATATATATATATATATGCACGACGTATATACACTCTTACATACAAAAGTCTTTAGGAGTTATTTGAGGATGGTAGGCATAGGTACACATGGCTTATACTTATAAACATGCATACATACATACACACATACACACATACATACCTATATAAATACACACATACATACATACACACATTCACACACACACACACATACATAAATACACACATACATACATACACACACACATACATACACACACACACACATACATGCATGCATACACACACATACATACACAAACATACATATAAACATGTAGAAGCATAGAGGAGTTACACGAGAAGAATGTACAGCTGCTGGCGTTGG